CTGGATGGACGCGCGCAGTCGGTGTGTGACTGCGCGCGTCGACGGACGCCCCCATCCACCGTGTCCGCAGCGCGACTTGAAGCCGGCCCCGCAGTATCGCGCTCGCACTTCCGCCTCGGACTTGTATGTACCGCCCGCCGTCCGACGACATGCGCTGAGAGGAGCGGTATCGAAACCCGGGAGCCACCTCCGCTAGAATGTCGTCTACGATCGTCCCGCTGTACTGAAACAAGCGAGCATTTAAATTATTTAGTTTGAATGATAATAATCATTAATAATAATTAATTGGCTGATTCTATGCATTAATAATTGTACATGGCGGTACAATGTTGCCTTATTGGCATTGTTCATGAACGTTGTTTAATAACACGACGGCCCCGCACAACGTTGCACGCCATTCTTCACAAAAAAAAAACAGAAAGAGCGTCATTCGAAATAAAAAAAATAACAACAAATAACCACAAACAATGCAAACGTGCAGTGGTCAAGTGTCGCTGCGCACCTTTCGAAACAAAAACAAAAAACAAAAACGCACGAAAATCGCAAAAAACAAGAGAACTTGTGCGTGCGCGGCCGCGCACCTTCGGATCTCTGCCTGATGTTGTCCTCGTTCCTGCGGTTGGTCGACGTGAGCGTAGTTACGGAGCCGAACTCAGCCTACATGCTCCGTTGTTTGCCTCAGCAGCTCGCGGTACGAGCCGGTCTCAGACATGCCTGTCCCGTCCATTCATGACGACGATCTGCGTCGAAATCCTGAGGCAGTAGCCCTGATGCCACGTGCGTGGACCAGGCATGCCGTTGCAACGAGATACCGTATGATGATGATGATTGATGATGATGATGACAGCAACAGTATGATAATGATGATCATGATGATGACAGCCAACGATGCATAATGATGATGATGATGATTGATTGATCTGGTCGACCTCGAGGCAGGTTATAGCTGATTGCCCAGGCGTGACTGGATGCCGCAGCTTATATATACTATACATATATTATACACAAATATATTGTGTCATCCGTGAATAAAAATACATTTTTTAGCATTCGTTCTTGCTTTTTACACTCTTGATATATATATAATACCTTATGCCACATTATTAGTTATTTTTCTTTGCTCTGCAAAAATTGTTTTCAGGCGAAAGCGCTTTTCAGGCAAGTGTTGACCTTCGCATTTGAATCTGCCGAAATTCCACGTTGCCGATACGAGTCAGAACTTGAACGACTACCCAATCTTTCGGCCAAACTGAACCTAACTAATGTCGTTCATGCACTTCCTCTCTCACCTTCTTTGCCCCAGAGATACCCTGCCGGCCCGAAATCACTTGATCGCAACATGCTGCCTTTCCTGACGTGAGGCCGTCGACGCCCGCCTAAGGGGATCGTCGAATAGGGTAGATTGTCCGCGTCGTTGCCTTAGACGGCTCGCATGCCCATGACTCACTCCCGCTGCCCCTTCTGTCCACCAGCTCAGTGCTTGATACCCTGTAGATGGGAGCGACGTAGGTGGAGAGAGAGAGCAGCATTATGATGTCAGTTGCGTGCTAGCTCGTTGCTGCCTGCTGCCAGTAGGTGGTGGGGATGGTTGGCTGCTGCTGCTGCTTGGTTGCTGCCGATTCGCTGCTGCTACTGCTGCCTGCCTTCTGCGCAGTGCCAATGTTGTCCTGCCGCTGCTACTGCTGTCTGCTGCCTAAGGTGGTGGTGCTGCTGCCTGCATGCTATTACTGCTGCTTCTGCCTGCCCCGGTTACTGGTTCTGCCCGCTGCGGCGTGCAGTGTTGCCTGCCCCCTGCTGTTGTTATACTAACATAATTTTATTAATATAGCGATTAGAACTTACTGCCTCGCCTGTTACTGCTCCTGCCTGGCTGCAGTATACTGCCTGCGTTGTTACTAATATCGGTATTAATAACAGCAGCTGCTGCTGCCGCTGGCGGTGCAGTATTGCTGCAGCAGTTGTTATTAATATCGGTATTAATAACAGCTGCCTGCCCTCTGCCGCCCCCGTACACACACTCAGTGCATGCTCCACGAACCTTCTCGCCAATCTCCGTCTGGTCGCCGGCGGGTAGGACGTCAAAGTCCTGCGTGAGCGCGCACGCCTCGACGACACAGCGGTAGCGACGCGCGCTGTACGTCTTACCGAAGATGATGTTGTTCTTCAGTGTCGCGTTCTGCAAGAGATAGAGAGACGGAGATTAGAAGAGAGACACCGAGAGACACAGAGAGAGCGACAAACAGACAGTGAGAGAGAGCAAGAGAGAGAATAGACGATAGACATTATATACGAATATGCGAACATAGAAGGATTAAAAGAGGGAAGAGGGAGGGAACGAGGGATGGGAGGGAGTGAGGAAGGGAGAGAGAAAGGGAGTGAGGGAGGAGGGAGGGAGGAGCAAGACAGAGACATGAGAGGAGGCTAACGAGGCAGGAAGCACAGGAAGGACGCACGTACATTAGGCCAAAACTAAATATATGTGTGGTTACCGTTACATGCCGAAAAAAAATAGGGTAGGTAGGTAGGGAAAACATTTTATTTTCTTGAAATATTTTATTTATGAACCATGTCCGAAGGATGTGCGTTGTGCCTTTTGAAGCAGGAACTGTCCAATTCATTTTTTATTTTTTATTTTTTTTATTTTTTTTACTTTAAAGAAAATTTACACTAGGAGGGACAGAAGGGGGTACCCACTCACCTGTATCCACGCCTGCTGCTGTCAGGAGGGGAGGGACGGATTGAGAGCGGGAGGGAGGGACAGAAGGGGGTACCCACTCACCTGGATCCACGCCTGCTGCTGTCAGGAGGGGAGGGACGGATTGAGAGCGGGAGGGAGGGACAGAAAGGGGTAGCCACTCACCTATATCCACGCC